AATGAAAGTGAAAATTTAATTAAGCCAAAACAGCTAGATTGGAAAAGTATTCCAAATCATCATTTCAACAGTTTTGCACTATAATTTAAAATTAACTTTGAAATCACTTTGAATTCCCAAGTTATCATACTTGAAATATTGAATATCCCATTATCTACCCTCAATAGACTTGAAATTGCTTTTTAAAATAGTAATACCTTTCACAACCTTTGTTAACCTAGTCTAAATCTCGGATAAGGAGTAGATGGAATTTACCCCCCAGCTCCCATCATGCCACTGGATGAATGATCACACATAGAATTAGCTAATTGGATGAGTAACTGCACCAAACGTCACTGTATTTGCCTTATCGAACACAGTTCAACCTGTGTAAAGTTGTGTATGTTAATAATTGTTTGATTAATAAAGTTTGTTGACATATTGCACTCTACGGTTCCATGCTCACATACGATCATTGCTGTGCAAAACCAAAGCTAAAGCAGAGGATGGCTGTTGCTGGGAACTCCATGGTTCGGAGGATGGAATTTGATATAAAGAGATTTGATAAAGCCTCCATCCTGCTTTACTTAAATATATATGGATTGTATCATTCTTGATCAAAATCGGAATAATGCCTGCCTCATTGTATCATTATCAATGGTATACCACCCTCATATTCCATATTCTGATTTCCAAATTTGCCCATTTTGATATTTTAAACAATAATATCATTACCTATCACTGCTGGGTGTTCACTTGGTTTTTATTAATATTATTGTTATCATTTATAACATATTCTGCAGCATTTTACAATTATAGCAAGGGTATATCTAAAAAACTAATATTTGACAGAGACAAAAGGTGTAGAAGGCCCAGCTCCTATGAGCTCACAATCTGCGAGTTTAGTTATGCATTAAACTTCTTTATATAACGACTTTATAATAAATTACTAAATACTGTATACAATCACAAAAGAGTAAATTAGACTTTTGTGGTCTTATCAAGATAACTTATATTGGTAAAAGAGTGAATAGTACTATAGGTAACCAATAAGATTATTTTCTGCATATTGCCGGTAACAACGTTACAGTTAAGTTTTATTTTCCAGAGATCCAATAAGATAATAGGTACTGGTTCTCAATGATATCATATCAAGCACAGAATAAATAAAATCAACTTTACTGGAACCAAATCCAGGTTCTAGATTGTACTTATTATTCTTTCATAGCATCTCCCACTCTTGGCCTCAGGTATTGTCATGAGATATTCCCGATTTATGGAATTTCCATTAAGTTCTCTACCAGATAAGTCTTGTGTTCTGCTCAGACAATCCATCCATAGTTCCCTGTCTTTTAGGGGAGCATAATTGTATATTTGTATTTAACTCATGATATATGCAAATATACATTAATTTCAATATCTCTGCTCCATCAGTACAAGCAGTGAAAAGGCATCACCTCAATTAATTAATTATTATTTTTATTGGAATAATATATCTACTATCTGTATTGACAGACAAACATTATCTCGTAAAAACATCCTCCATCCCATGAGACCCCAGCAACAGACGGTCATTAGTTTTACATTGCTGTCAACATGACAAAAAAATGTGTTTCCTCCCCTCATTCTTTATTAGATCTAAATCTATACTATCTATATAATAGTGAAAACATAGATCCCAACTGCTGTGAAACAACAACTCCAAAGATGGTTTGTCAGCCTTACAGCTGTCAAAGCATTCTGGAATTTGAAGTTCAAGTATCGCTGATGATCTTCCTATTGGCTATCCCTGCTCTTGAAATAAAGCTCATCGTAATGTAAGAAAATTCTACCTTTGCTGTAACATCATCCTTTCCAACATTTCCATTGGACAAAGAGGGACACTTGACTCAGAAGTAGTTCTGCTCACATTTTGGTTTATCAGTTTGTTGCCTATAAGGTTAACATGATTTTATAATCTGTAGATTTTATGAATCTCTGTCTCACTTATTCCAGATGGACATAGCCCATTAAAGCCAGGGAAGGAATGGCCTCTACTGATAACCACTAAAATATAGCATATCAATTAGCCATGGGCCAGGTAACACATGTGGCTATCAATATTTATTTGAAGTAACCCGTTGGAGCAGCTCTTTCCCACACTCCAGCTTTATGCCACAGATTACCCCCCTGCTTCCTCCTCTATTCACAGCACCAGATGCCCTATTAATGGACACACTCCTATTGTCCCTGCAGGAGCTGTGATTGGCTGCTGAGTGTGGGAACCTGTGCTCAGTCTGATCCTCACATATCATTATACAGAGAGAGCAGTATATAGAGGGCCTGCCTGCCTCACTAGCTGCATATCACTGGATCACATAGCAGACAGGACTCCAGCTCTCACCCACTGACTGGACAGCATGGCCCCTTCTAGCCCTAGCATGGTGCCAGCTGATGGCAATAGGCACAGTGCACAAGGGATGAGGAAGGTAAGCCCTGATCAATGGCTGATACTGGACAAGAGGGGTGGGAATTTTGGAAAAGAATATGGTTAGATAGGATTCATTATTTTTAACGAATAATAGAAATAATTATTTATACAGTACATTTTGGTTTAATTCTTTAAAATAATGCTATTTGAACTTTATCTCAGATCAGGATTTAGGATTTATTGTTTGAACATTAACCCATGTCGTACCAGGTGAAGCTGTATTTATACTAATGTAATGTGTTTGTTCCTTTCTCCAGCTCAGGAAGCCAGTGATTGAGAAGATGAGGAGAGATCGGATTAACAGCAGCATTGAGCAGCTCAGGGTGTTACTGGAGAAAGAGTTTGACAAACAGCATCTTCCATCCAAACCAGAGAAAGCGGATATTCTGGAGATGACAGTGACCTTCCTGCAGCAGCACCTGGCTGGGAAAAGTAAGTATCCTGACCTGTGTGTCTTTCACATCAGGAGAAATGGTCATCTGTCACTGAGACTCAAACACTAAATGAAATATCATTCTAATAATGGTCTTCTCTTCTCCCCCTTTAGCTGCTCCATCATCCAGCCAGAGCTACACAGAAGGTTACTCCAAGTGTCTCCAGGTCTCCGAGTGCTTCCTATCCCAGCACAGACAGACAGAGGCCCAGGTGAAGCTGCTGCAGAACATCCATTGGACACAAGCGGTAGCAGAGGGGACCTTATCTTCTAAATTAATCATGTACCAGACCCACAGCAAAGACACAGCAGACGAGACCAGCAAAGTCATCTGGAGACCCTGGTAGTCACTCTATAGACTTGGCTGGACTGGAAATAATATATACATATATATATTTTCAGTCATCCTACATAAAAAAACCTCTATGGATAATTGTCTGTTGGTTTGGAAAAGGTCACTTTGTGCCTGCCCACCTCACATGGATAATGTGCTACTGGTGGCTTGTGATAACTATGCATTATTAAGGGTGATTGGATAGAATATGTAATATTCTACATGGCTAGTGATTTATCATATAATGATAGTGTAAGCATGTTTACTAATGCTATTAGCCAAGTATGTTTTATATTAAAACAACAGCTCAGGCCAGGAATTACTGCAATCTTACATGAAATGATTGGAGTCATTGGATCAGGGCTGTAATAAATTGTTAACAATGTTATTAGTTTCCTTCTATGAAGGTTGTTTATTGCAGTGTATAATAATATTATTATTACCATGTAATTCTAGGTACAGTGTTACTAGCTGAGTAGGTGGAGCTGGGGATGTTTGACCAGTAAACGCCATATTATGGTGACTGGGACACAGTTCTATAATGTTTCCTACCCTGGGTTTGCAATATATTATGATATATTATGATCTAATCCATGGGGAAATGAAAGGATACAAAATATTAAATTATAAATCTTTATTGTATATTACAATAGCTGTATTCTCTATGAGGATTATTAATGTTAATCCATTCAATCGATGGATGTATGTACTGTATCATGTGTTATTATATGATTAGCAGTGATTGTGTTACATGCATTTGATATGTGACTTTTATTATATGTTCTGTTATTACCTCCATTACTGGGATGATATTAATAGTGTTTTGTGTATTTTACACTGTCTGCAATGTTTGCAGCAATTATCTGCATATTAAGCTAGTGGGCATTTATGGTATATATTATCTTGTCTCAAATGTATTATTTATTAATTAGCAAGTGAATATGTAAGTCTGAATTTCAGATGTATTCACTGGTGATGTCAATAAAATGTATTTTTTGTTAAACATGCTTTTTGGCTCTTTTAATCTTTCTAATACAAATACGGGTAAAAATATTCCACAAATGAACTATATAACATTATAAACAGTTATTGAAAAGTACACATCTTTGGGACCCAATTCTTTAAACATTTATACATTTCCAATCATGGGACATGCTGATCAATACATTTTTCATAATCAAGTACAAGGTTTCTTGAAGGAACACATCTGACAGATAAATCTATCAAATAAAATTCAGAACTATATTCTCGTTTAAAGTACCAGCTTTTTCTGCAAATTCCCAAGTTGTGCAGTTTTGGAGTAAGCTCTCACCAAACCAATAAGTAAAATGTAACTTTCAATAGCTGTGAGCTTATCCTGTAAACAGTGCGTTACATTGGCTCTATTATGTTCATAGTCTTTGCATAGTTTGCAAACACACATCCCCAACCCAATGTGCCATGGCCTGCTTTGTATGCAGTGGACTGGGACAAAAAGAGAATGTCATCTTTCTGACAGAGCCTCTCTAAGGGAACAGCACAGGTTTTGGTGAGTTGTAGTTCAATTCAGGGATGTGCTGTGAGGTCAGTAGCTGGTGAGGCATGAAAAAAAAAAGTTTAATCCGAGCCAAATTTTGTCAGGAAGTTGCGGTTTAAGACCTATAGAGTGGGGCTAGGGGCAGTAGTGGAAGGTTAGAACCGGTAGCAGGGGGTCAGGACTTGTAATGGGGAAAAAGTACGGCTAGTGGGGGGGTTGGGGGTTACACAAACACACTATGCTGTAACTATACACAAACTACATGCCTATACCAACACACACTCTGCATTCACTACACACACTCTGTATTCACTACACGAACACACACTCTGCAGTCACTATACACACACACTCTGCATTCATTATACACACACAATATTCACTATACACACTCAAATGTAATGCGTACATGGTGAATGCAGAGTGTGTATAGTGAATGCAGTGTGTGTGTAATGAATATAGTGTGTGTGTAGTGAATGCAGAGTGTGTATAGTGAATGTAGTGTATGTATAGTGACTGCAGTGTGTGTATAGTGAATGCAGTGTCTGTTTAGTGAATGCATATTGTGTTTGTGTGTAGTGAATGTAGTGTGTGTAGTGAATGCAGCGTGTGTATTTGTGTAGGAATATAGTGTGTGTATTTATGTAAGGATGTAGTGTGTTCATCATGACTGCGGTGTCTGTGTGTATGTGTAAGAATATAGAGTGTCTACAGTGACAGCAGTGTGTATAATGAATGTAGTGTGTGTAGAGTGAATGCGGAGTGTGTATAATAAATGTAGTGTATCTATTAAATGAATAATATGTATAGTGAGTGTAGTGTGTATATAATGATTGTAGAGTGTGCATAGTGAGTATAGGGATTACAGAGTGTGTTTGTGTAGTTAATTTAGTGTTTGTGTAGTGAATGCAGAGTGTGTATAGTGAATACAGGGTGTATGCAGAGTGTGTATTTGTGTAAGGATGTCAAAGAGATAAAGAGCTTTTTTGTTAGTTTTTTAACTTTTATTTGAAGAGACGCTATAGTCACCAGAACAACTACAGCTTAATGTTTTTCATGTAAAGACTTTCTTTTCAGAGAAAAAAACTGTGTTTACATGGCCCCGTTAGGGACACTTCCAGGGGCAGTGCTGAATAATGCTGCCCAAGAAGTATGAATAATTCACATAATATTAGAGGACATCAATAAATAAATCATCACACTTCCCCTTAGAACAGTTTCATATTTATTCAATTTATTTCCAGTATGTGAATTCTACATAATGCCAGGCCACATTCATTCATTTGCCTCCCAAAACATGTGGATGTTCCAGCTGTCCGGGGAAGCGTGGCCAACTGACAATTGGTTTCCTGTTAGATGGTCTATTAAAGACATGTTAAGACTTATTACTAAGCCAAATGTGGTCTCTTTGTATTTTTTGTATTTTCTATATGGGCAATCACTGCCCCCCAAAAAAAAACGACACAGAGCGGCAAAACCCAATGTCTCCTAACTGATTAAACATTTAACCACTGTTGAAAGCTAAGTAACACTGTTTTATGATCGGCCCCTGCGTGAGCCACTGTATTTTGATATGCTGCATTCTGTGTCGAATCAAAAATAAAGAATTTAAAAAAAAAAATGTGGTAAAATCAGTGTTAAGTGGTCCTGTGGTGGCTTGGATTAGCCCCCACTTTTTGTGGAGAGGGTCCTCCGAACCCTTACTGGACCCCTTTACTGTTTTGTGCTTCTAGGCACTGTTTGCTTATATTTATTGCATGTTTCACACATTGTGTTGTCTGCTTAGATTTATTACATATGTCTGACATTGAAATGCAACGTGGGTTTAACTTTGTGGGTCCCTTCCCTCCTCACTGCTGTGGGGTTTCCCCTCCCAGGGGGCCTCCCCCTCAACATGCGCCCACTTTGCTCATTGTCCGACTAGCCTTAGTTCGCAGGGGCCATCTTTTTGGTTCTGCCGCCCACTGGAGACGCCCATTTTCACAGAGCCTTACACAACCGCCCGTGGCCACCTTGTTGGGGTCCCTGTGGGTGACAGTGGCCATTTTTTCTGCGCGGTTTTCACACTTTGCACGGGAACTGCACTTACATTGGTGCTGCCCAGGTGTTATTTCCCTTAGCTTGTTTTGACACCCGGGTGGCTCCTTGCTCCTCTGAATAACTGTGAGTTTACTTTGCTTGTTTTTCCTACAGTTTCTAGTCATTTTTTCCCTGAGGGTCTTTGGGTTACTTATGCTCATCATACCTTGTTACAGGCACTCTACAGATCATTACTGGATTACCCTGTTTATTTTACCATATACTCTGTTTCGGTAGTATTACTATATAAAACACATTACATGAACAGTCAGGACTATGTATTCATGCATACGAACAAAGACCACCCGGCCCTTGGCGTGTGCCGCCACTTAACCTTTTTCACCTCTAAAACAACCGAACGGCCGACCACCTTACAAGCGGAGTGTGGTTTCAATTGACCACCGAGAAGCTGCGGTCTGCGGTTAACCACAAGCCTAATTGACTGCCTCAGGGTGGCCTCGTTCGGATAATTCACCGAACTGAAACTCCCGAAAGGCTCCCGAACGAGGACCACCTACACCCAGGCGTGTGCCCCCAATTAGAATGTTGAGTCTGTGGTTAACCGCAAGCTAAGTAGCCCCCTTCATGGCAGTCTCTGTTCGGCTCCCAAAGGGCTGGGACAACCATCCACTGAGCGGTATTTGCGCAACTGTTCATCCGTTACTCGCTCCAAGGATTTTAGGGCCAGGTGCCGCTCTCTATTCACCAGCCGGAAAACATGGCCGCCGTCTCATGTTCGGGACAAAAAGGCATGAAAGGACTCTTTGAAAAGACTGGCTATACCGTTCATGAGATCCAAGCGCTATTCGCCTATCTGCTGCGCTCAGATCTGGGCTATCCAACGAATGGTAGAATATAAAATGTGTCTATTAAAATGTTATAATTATGTATTTTTATACTGTTTTACCTGTTACAATAACACGTGGGATTTCAGACGCTTGGAGATAATTAAATTGCCATAACCGTTAGAGTCATTATCTCCAAGCTGGGCGGTAACCATTTCAAATGATACACTATAATGCCATTGGTCAACAGTTTGTATTGTCCTTGTATCCCATCAGGTCCAGAGGGGGCTCTCCCTGGACCTGGGGTTTTGCATAAATAGCGATGTCTTTGTGCCACTAAAGCCAGTTTGTTTTGACCCTCAAATCGCAGCCTCGACTCGTTTTGTGGGAACAAGGGTATCCTAGCTGTACCATAGCTAGTGGGATTGCTTTGTATTTGCAGGATTGTTAAGCTGAACGAAACGGTGCCTCCCTCTCTCCACACTCGGGAACCAGGACATCCAAGTGGTCCAGCCTTCAGCTAGCTTGGAGGTAACCGTAACAGACCTCTCCTCCAAGGGACTGAAGCCCCAGTGGCCAGCCTCTCCTCGGCTCCGGTAGCCCGTTTCTGTCGATGGTCGCGGATGGTGAGCGTTTATTTCCTCCAAAAGAGGAATTAATGGGTCAATTGTGTCATGTTGTGCGGGAGCTTGTCTCTCCTGCGACCGCTCGGCGGCCCAGCCCCGCCCCGCCCCCTTTTTTTATTCTTTTAAGTTTTATTGTGGACTCTCTTTACATCCTGTGTGGTTTTTTTCTTGCTCTTATTATTATATACTATTGTGTTTGGAGTATTTTTCTTGGCCTACCTGTATATTGCTGTTTGACTAGTTCTAGCTTTCTTGGGGGTTGGAGGGATCCCCCTATTATCAGGTGTGCTGCCTCCCATCCTAGTGTTCTTAGTTTGTTTAGCGCTGCTCTATCCCTTGTTCAGTTTTATAGTCTCCATCCTGCTTTACTTAAAAATATATAGTTTGTATCATTCTACATCAAAATCTGAATAATGCCTGCCTCGTTATATCATTGTCAATGGTATACCACCCTTCCATTTCCAAATTTGCCTTTTTTGACAGTTTGAATTATGTCATTAACTACCACTGCTAAGTGTTTGTTTGGTTTTTATTAATAGTATTATTATCGTTTATAACATATTCTGCAACACTTTACTATTACAGCAAGGGTATATCTGACAACAAATAATTGACATACAGATTATTGACAGAGACAAAAGGTGAAGGGGGGTGGGGGGGGGGTTGTCCTGGTCAAATAAGCTTACAATCTATAAGTTTAGTTATGTCTTTAAATTTGTTATATAACGATTTTATAATAGATTAGTAAATACTGTACTCAGTCACTAAAGGGTAAATTATATCTTTGTGATGTTATCAAGATATTGATTAAATAGTAGGATAGGTGACCAATAAGATTATTTTCTGCATATTTCAAGTAACAAAGTAATAGGTAAGTTTTTTATTTAGCAGAGATCCAATAAAACACTAGTTATGGTCTCTCATTGATGTCACATCAAACACGGAATAAATATAATGCAATATAATGCAATTTTTACTGGAACCAAATCCACTTTCCCTCTGAATTGTACATGTGATTTTTTTTTCATAGCATCTTCACAATCTTGGATTCTGGTATTGTCATGAGCTATTACAAATATATGGAATTTCCATTAAGCTCTCTACAGGACATATCTTGCTTAGATTTCACATCCATAGTTCCTTGTGTTTTAGGATGATATAATTTGTATATGATATCTGTAAAGATTAATTAATTTCAATATAAATAATAATATCTCTGCTTCATCAGTAACAGCTGTGAAAAAGCATCACCTCAATGAATTAATTAATTTTTTTATTGGGATTACATCTCTACTATCTGTATTGACGGACAAATGTTATCTCTTCAAAACATCCTTCATCCCATGGGATGATGAGCAGATTGTCCTTAATTTTACATTGCGGTCATGACAGAAATGTAATATCCTCCCTCATTCTTTATTATATCTAAATCTATACTATCTAGATCATGGTCAGAACATAGATACCACCTGCTGTGGAACTAAAACTCCAAAGATGGTTTGTCAGTCTGAAAGCTAGTATCAGCAAGTATCGCTGATGATCTTTCTTTTGGCTCTACCTGCTCTGTATTGTATTTATGAACTATTGTTGTTTCTGGCACCTTCCTGTTAAACCTCTCCTTAACTCAAGCTCGTCCTAATTTAAGAAAATTCTGTTTTTGCTTTTTCTTCATACTTTGCAACATTTCAATTGTAAAAAGAGGGACACTTGACTCAGAAGTATCTTTAGCACTGCTACAATATTGGTTCAACAGTTTAATACCTTTAAGGTTAACATGATTTTGTATTCTGTTACTTTATTACATGTGGATCTCTGGCTCACTTATTCTATATGGACATAGCTTATTAAAGCCACAGAAGGAATGACTTCATCCCAACTAGAAGATAATTGCTCATTTAGCCATGGTCCAGGTAACACATGTGGCTATCAATATTTATTTGAAGTAGCCCGTTGGAGCAGCTCTTTCCCACACTCCAGCTTTATGCCACAGATTACCCCCCTGCTTCC